AGCAAAGGCCCTTACACATGTAAATAAACTCAGTAGATGTTAGCTATTATTATAAAATCTACTTTAAGTTGCATTTCTTTTATTCACTCTTTCAACAAAATATGAATAATATATATGAATAGCTATCTGTACTCTCCACTGGGTACCAAGAATATAACAGTGACCAAAACTGATGTGGCCTCCACCACACTGAGTCCAGTGAGAAAGATTTTTGTGCCTTGGAACTTGTCAATGATTAGAAGACTTTTGACTCAGTCTTAAGTAGGAAAATTTAAATTGAAGCAAGGGTAAAGTTTTAAATTCAAAGCTTAATAAAATACTGAAGTTTAAAAAATAAAAGACTTAGGAAAATCAGTGTACTTTTCCAGGGTTTTGAATAGAAGTACTTCTACAAGATTTAGATTGCCTGTAAGGACAATTAGTAGGTCAGCACTGTACAAGTAAGAAAGGGAGTAGAAAGAAATAAGGTCTGTGAAGTAGACTGGAGCAAGTCCATGGAGGTTTAAAAAAAAGTGAAACAAGGAAAGCAATTGTGAGCCAAAGAGTGAAGTCAGTAATTTTCCAGCACAGAAGCCATAACCCCTGGTGGCAGAATCAGAATTTAAGAACTGGTTTTGAAAGAAGCAGGATTTCATTTAGAAATAAGAACTCTGTGATAAATATATTCATATTTTGGTAGCCTGTTTGTTTTAATATCAGTAAATAATATGTCAGAATATGCTATTGACTGTAAGTAGTACATTTTATACATTGTAGTAAAAATCTTTTAAATATATTTTTTACTATAGTAAACAGATTATGTTGATATATTTACTTGGGAAAATCTTAATGCAAAAATTTTTTATATAATCTTTTTTATTTATTAAAATTAGGCAATTTCAGAAACAACTAAATATCCATCAACTGATGCATAACTCTGTGAATATACTAAAAACCATTGAATTGTGCACTTTTCTTTCATTTTCTGTTTTTAAAGATTTTTTAAAATTTATTTTTAGAGAGAAAGGGAGTAGGGGAGAGAGAGAAGCATCGATATGAGAGCAAAAACATTGATTGGCTGCCTCCTGCATGCTGCCTAACAGGGATCGAGCCTGCAACCCAGGCATGTGCCCTGACTGGGAATTGAACTGACAACCTTTTGGTGTACAAGATGACACCCAACCAGTTGAGCCACACTTGCCAGGGCGAATTGTGCACTTTAAATGGATGAATTGTATGGTATGTGAATTATATCTTAAGAAAGCTGTTAATTTTTTAAAATTAAGCAATTTTGAAGAATTCCTAACTTCAAAAAAGCATAAAGGGTAGACTAGATCATTTATACTGAGCTGGATTCTCCCTAACGCCTAGGTCAGTGGACCATGACTCCAGTGCATGTTAGAGTGTTAGTTCTTAAATGCAGAGTGCATTCAGTCTCGTAGGGAATTGTGGCATCATTGCCTTATTACCAGGCAGCTGAAGCCAGAGAGGTTAGGTTTCTTCTTGAGAGTCAAAACTACTAAGTGGGAGAATTGGAATCCAGACTTACGTCTGCTTGTGCCCAATCCAGTACTCTTTCCACTTCTTCAAACCATTTCTCAGAATCTTATTTTGTATATAATCCCTTACTAACTTCATGACCTCCACTGGCATGGGTGCTAGTTACTTTTTATTGGCTCTTCCTGTTCACTTGCTATGTGACTTTGAGCAGATTACTTAACGTCTCTGTGCTTCAGTTTCTTAATCAGAAGGAAGTAGGGTAAGAATAATGCCAATGTGATTGAATTATTTTGAGGATTTAATGATGTATATGTGAAGTGCTGGGAACAGTCATTGACATAAGTCATGCTTAGTAAATGTTAGCTGTCATTTCTAATAATAGACTCTTTCAGATAGTATTTGCTTTCTTTAAGGGTCTAGAGCAGGTATGGGGAACCATTTTTCTGCCAAGGGCTATTTGGATATTTATAACATCATTCTTGGGCCATACAAAATTATCAACTTAAAAATTAGCTATGAAAAAAGCTCTTAGATTTATTGAATTTCGAGTCCCACCTGTGGTTGCCTTGGCAGGGCCAGACCAAATGATACGGCCTGGGGGCCGGACATTCCCCACCCCTGGTCTAGAGTCATGAAATATTTTTAAAAGGACAGTTAATTAAAATATACTTTCTCAACATATTTACATTATAATTTTTATGTTGGGCCTTAGAAGGTAAGCCCAGAGCAGTGATTATCAAATTTATTCAAATGATGGAGCCATTTGAATGCTTGTTACAGAACACATGATAAACTGTCTTCTAAGTTAGAAACAATTTTACTAACAGAGAATGACTTTACTGTATCTATATAATATAAATTTATTATAAGCATCCATGAAAAATCTATAGAATTAAGCCTGATCAACTCCTTCTAAATATATTTCATTTTAAATTTTTATATTTTTAAATTTGTTTGATTATCTGCCATTGAAAATGTATCAGATGGATTTGAAAGCATTATCTTCATTAATTCAAGTATTTCTGTGATTTGGGAAAGGCTACTATTGGATCTTGGTGGCCTGATGCTTTTATTTCAGTCTGTGGAATACCAAGGTAACCTGAGAGCTTGGACTGAGAACTAGTTTCATGGGCAAATGAATTAATATAGAGATGAGTCAAACTGAATTACAGCGGGTCCTCAAATAATGTCTTCTGGTTCAATATCATTTCATTATAACATTGATGAGAAAGAAAAAATAGATTCCTGGCTGGGGCCACTGTCTATGTGGATTTGCATCCCCCTCTCTCAATGTCTACATGGTTTTCTCCAGGAATTTGGTTTCCTCCCATACCCAAAGATGTGCAGTTAGGTGAATTGGCTTGTCTACATTGCCCCAGTCTGAGCGAGAGAGTGGGTGTATGTGTGCTCTGTAGTAGAAGGGTGTCTGGTCCAGTGTGGGTCCTGCCTTGAGCCTTGAGCTGCCCAGAGAGGCTCCCACCACCGTCCATGACCTTGAACTGGAATAAGCAGGTTGGAAAATAGCTATCTTACATTTGTGTTTTTTTAATCCCCACCTGAGGAGTGAGGATATTTTTTGTACTGATTCTAGAGAGAGTGGAGGGGAGGGGAGAGCAGGAGAGAGAGAGAAACATCTATGTGAGAGATACAAATCGATTGGTTGTCTCTTGCTCACCCTTGACCAGGGGCAGATATCAGATCTGCAACTCAGGTACATGCCCTTGACTGGGAATTGAACCCATGACCCTCTGAACATAGGTGCACAGGCCTACGCTCTAACCACTGAGCAACACTGGCCAGGGCTCTTACTTTTTAAAATTTCTTTTTCTTAAATATATTTATAGTTCACATTTATTTTAATGTTTAAGATTAGAAGTGTTTTGAGTCTTTAGAATTTTGATGATTTTTTTGTGACCAAATATATGCTGTAGGAACCTAATTCTTGTTTCCATCAATTAGCCTCTGGTAAAATTGTTTATGTTATCTGTTCCATGTTGCCATGCCTCTGGACTTATTTTGTTGGTCCATTTATTTTGTTCATTAGATTCCACATATGAGTGAGACCATGTGATATTTGTCTTTCTCTGGCTGGCTTATTTCACTTAGCATAATAATCTCAAGGTCCCTCTGTGCTGTCTCAAAGGGTAAGGATTCTTCTTTTTTACAGCTGCATAGTATTCCATTGTGTAAATGTACCACAGCTTTTTATCCACTCATCTACTGATAGTCACTTGGGCTGTTTTCACATCTTAGCTATTGTAAATAACGTTGCTATAAACATAAGGGTGCATATATACTTTTTGATTGGTGTTTTGGGGTTTTTAGAATATATCCCTAGAAGTGGGATTGCTGGGTCAAACAGCAGTTCCATTTTTAATTTTTTGAGGAAACTCCATACTGTTTTCCATAGCGGCTGCACCAGTCTGCATTCCCACTAGCAGTGTACCAGTGTTCCCTTTTCTCTGCATCCTGGCCAGCACTTGTTTGTTGATTTATTGATGGTAGCTGTTCTGGCAGGTGTGAGGTGATACCTCATTGTGGTTTTAATTTGCATCTCTCTGATGATTAGTGATGTTGAGCATTTTTTCATATGTCTATTGGCCATTTGTACGTCCTCTTTGGAGAAGTGTCTATTCAGGTCCTTTGCCTATTTTTAAATTGAATTGTTTGTCTTCCTTTTGTTGAATTGTATGTGTGCTTTATATATTTTGGAAATTATCAGATATATCATTGGCAAATATGTTCTCCCATAGAGTGGGTTCCCTTTTCATTTTGATGATGGTTTCTTTTGCTGTGCAGGAGCTTTTAGTTTGATGTAGTTCCATTTGTTTATTTTTTTTCTTTGTTTCTCTTTCCCTAGCAGATGTGTCTTCAAAAATTCTGCTACATTAGATGTCTATGTTTTCTTCTAGGATTTTTATGGTTTCATGACTGACATTTAAGTCTTTTATCCATTTTGAGTTTTTTCTTGTGTATGGTGTAATGTGATGGTCTAGTTTCATCTTTTTGCATGTTGCTGTCCAGTTTTCTCACCACCATTTGTTGAAGAGATTGTCTTGATTCCATTGTATACTCTTTCTTCCTTTGTCAAATATTAATTGACCATAATGGCGTGGGTTGATTTTTGGGGTCTTTGTTCTGTTCCATTGATCTCTATGCCCGTTCTTGTGCCAGTACCAGGCTGTTTTAATTATAATGGCTTTGTAGTATAGTTTGATATCTGGTATTGTGATCTCTCCAACTTTGTTCTTCTTTCTCAAGATTGCTGAGGCTATTTGGGGGCTTTTTGGTTCCATATGAATTTTTAAAGTACCTGTTCTAGATTTGTGAAGTAAGCCTTCTGTATTTTAAGTAAGCGTTTGGTATTTTTGGTTTTTTAAATGAGATTAACATTTAAATTGGTAGACTGAACAAAGCAGATTGCCCTCCCTAGTATGTGTGGGCCTCATCCAATCAGTTGAAGACCTTACAGTTCTATAAAAATGTTTAATCATCTCCATTAATCACCTTTTTAATCCTAGGTTATTGAATCTTTGGGAATTATTATTTATAAAGCACTGGACTATGGTCTGAAGGAGAATGAAGAAAGAGAATTAAGTCCTCCCCTGGAGCAACTCATTGATCACATGGCCAACACAGTAGAAGCAGATGGGAGCAATGATGAGGGTTATGAGGCTGCAGATGAAGGCCTGGAAGATGAAGAAGATGAAAAAAGAAAAGTTTCAGCTATCCGGTCATATAGAGATGTCATGAAGGTAAAGCAGCAGTTTATATAATCCTGGTTTCTTTCAAGAGTTATGTCACTTAAAAAAATTGATTGGTGATTCAGCATTTGATAATAGTTCCTAGTCTTTCAGCTGAAAGTGAAATGAATAAGGAACTAAAATACTCTGGAATGTATGGTTTGTTCAGAGCTTCAATGTGGCCTTTTAAAAACCACTTTTAGGTATTCATATGTCCCTTATCATATGCCTTCAAAAGATTTATGCATTTTCTTTTTACAATGGAGTAAACAACAACTGTGATCCATTTATTTATATGAAGATTCTGAATCTGAACTATCATAACTGATTATTTTGTTTTCTTGGCCTGTCCAGTGCTATTTGTGTGTGATAAAACAAGTTCTATAGGTTAAATTGAATTTTTCTCTTCAGTTAAATTTTCCTCTATACATGCACAAAGATTAAAATTAAGGCAGATTTGTTAAATTAGTCTTAAAAGAGTATTCTGTTTAGAAGTATTTATGTATGATGTTTACTAGATTTTGTAAGCAGCATTGGCTATATATCACTTATTTTTCAACTTTGCATAAAGAACTTCAAAAACAGGAATAGAAAGGAACCGTGAAGACAGTACTTCTCAGGTATACTACAGCACACCCTGATTCTTGCTGCTTCTCAGGAACTCTGGAATGGAACTATGCAGTTATGATTCTTAGGAAGTTCAGATAGATTCTTTAGTAATTTCAGTACTCATAATCAAAATCAATAGCATATAGAAGTAAAATACCCTCATATATATATAAATTTATACTTTATTCATTTTATATTTTTTAGATGTTAAGGAGTATTTTAATACACACATACTGAAGGCCAGATAAAACTGTGCAGACGACAGATGAACTACTTGTTCCCAGTAGACCAATGATAAATAGTGATAAAAAGTGAAGAGTAAAAGGTTTTTCATTAAGGCACAAAACTACTTATGCCTCTAAAACTAAGCAGTTTTTTTGGTACAGTGTGTGTGTGTTGGAGGAGGTAAACAAGTATTGTTATCTTCCTCTTCTGTAGTTATGTGCTGCTCATCTACCAACTGAATCAGAGGCACCAAATCATTATCAGGCAGTATGTCGTGCACTGTTTGCAGAAACAATGGAGCTACATACATTTCTGAGTAAAATTAAAAGTGCAAAGGAGGTAAGTACCATTGCTTTCATATTTATTAGCATTCTGAAAGATAAACATGAATTTTCAACATTGCCTATCACATTATGTAAAGTATTTATTACTATCCTTCTGATGAGTGCTGAAATTCATTCAAGAAAGAAGCAACTATTTATTTTATTTTTTAAAAGTTTATTGTTGAGAGTATTACAGATGTCCCCCTTTTCCCCCCCTTTGCCTCACTCCACCTAACTCCCACCCCACCCCAGGCCTTCACCACACTATTGTCTGTGTCCATGGTCTGTGCATGTGTGCATTTAAGTTCTTTGATTAATTTCTTCCCGCCCTCCCTCCCACGGTCCCTCTGAGATGTCAGTCTTTTCCATGCTTCCATGTCTATGGTCCTGTGTGTGAATCCATTTTATAAAAAAGGTTTTGCTAAAGCATCCTTATAAATGGAAATAAATAATGCCAAATTAGTTTAATCAAGTTCCCATATGACTTGATTTTCACCCTTTTTCTACCATTCTTTTGTTCATTTTAAAACATGTTAGTACATCTTTCAGGAAGGGAAAGGACTTACAAAGGAGGCTACACCGCTGATAATTTAACTCTCTTTATAGTGGATTTGATTAAATATTTAATGGAGAAGATGTGAATTACTCAGATTACCCAAAATCTAATTTTTCTTTTATTTAATTATTAATTTATTAGTGTCTATGAGTTTAAAAATATATGTAGAGTAGAAAAAGAACCATTCTAATTTACTAGGTAAATTGCCACATTTCACATTACACAGAAGATCATCAAGATTCATGAGATCTGTGTAAAGCAGCACAGCATCTGGTACACAGTAACGGCTCAGTACATGATAGGTAGTGGGTATTGTCCCTTTTATGACTAAAGTAGAGTTTATCTGAAACAGTAGTTTAGAACTTAGGATGAGACAGTTTGTGGAGGTACACGTAGGTATATAAGGGAGGAAGGAAAATACTAATCTGTATTAGTCAAATAAGACTGATTAGCCCTGGTAATAAGTAAATGACAGATATCTCAGTCAGATCACCCTTAATAAATCACCTTAAATATATCCATTTTATATGTATGAATTAGAGCTCTAAGCATTCCTTTTCAGTTCTAGCCAGGCTACTGCTGATAATCTTTTTATGATAGACCAATGAAAAGCTATGTCAATTTTCTTTTTTTTTTTAGGATTTTGTAGAGTTGGACCCAAGAGGCAAGTCTTCCACAGGGTAGAAAGAGTGAACTATGTGTTATTTGAAAAATAACAATAAATATATCATGGAGTAGTGTTTCCTCCTAGACAGAACCAGAGGATGTAGGGTTTGAGTAAAAGCTTCAGAGTAAACATCTGAAAGCACATCCTCAGTTACTGTTTAGTAAGTAGTGGAAAAGATTACTTTTTAAGGTAATTATTGAAATTGCCTTATTCAGAGACACAAGTATTATTTTTAAGGTGGAAGTGCAGTCCTCTGGGGTTACTAGAGTAAATTAAATGGCCTCTTTTTTTTAAAGTTCTTGCAACACAGACATTCTTAGAAACCATTTCTGAGCTTAAAACACAGTATTAAGAAGTATTTTTCTACTCCCGTAGCTTAAAAATTTTTTTTTGCTTTGCTAAACATATTCTCAGAAAGAGATTTAAACATTATGAAAGTTTATTTAAATAAAAATCTCAAGTGGAGTAAACGAACATGAGTGACTGGGACCATTGGTGGCTCTGTGGCGATGCTTGTGGCGACTGACCAGCCCCTGCCTGAGGTTGGGGACCTTGAGGTCAGGGTTACAGCCCCATCTTGCCCTATTTCCTTCTGGATCCACCCCAAATTTAGATCTGTGTAGATAATAGTTCTGTTCTGTTTTCTCATCTCCTTCTCTATTTCCTTACTTGGTCGATCTCTTCACAACCTTATCCATTCTTCTCTTGGAAAGTTCTGCTTCATTTTGAGAAAGAACTCCTCAGTACCCTCAGGCTCTTCTCAGAACACTTGTTCCCCCAAGGGTAGTACTTTATCTCTCTCTCTCTCTTTTGTTTTTTTTGTTTGTTAATCCTCACTTGAGGATATTTTTTCCTTTGATTTTTAGAGAGTGGAAGGAAGGGAGGGAGGTAAAGAGAAAAAGAGAGAGAGAAACATCAATGTGAGAGAGATACATTGATGGGTTGCCTCCTGCACATGTTCCGACTGGGCCGGGGATCAAACCTGCAACCCAGGTATGTGCCCTTGACCAGAAATCAAACTTGAGACCTCTTGGTGTGTGAACTGACACTCTAACCTCTGAGCCACACTGGCCAGGGCGTGTAATACTTTCTTTTGCTCCCCTTTTGTGGGAAACTGCTCCCTTTTCCACATCTTCATACCTCTTGACTGGGAAGGGTTAGTAACATTTTCTTTCTCTCTACTGTTTCCAAACAATTACTCTTTATACTTGTACAAAAAGCTTGTGCCGTCCACTTCTGTTATTCTTAAACCACTGTCATCTGCCATCATCTTGAGTGATTTCTTTGGTGAAAGGAAACTAGAGCTTTGTATTCTTGACTTTCCCTTTGCTTCAGTACTCTGCTTACCTGAACACACCATTGTCCTTGAAATAACCTGCAATCATTCCACCTTGGAAATCATGGGCTCTCGATCGGTACTTCCTATCACCCCTGCCCTGTGAGCTCTTTCCCTCACTGCACCTGGCCTAGTCTGCCAGTCCCTTGCCTCCCCCCATTTTCTTCCAGTTTATCACTTCCTTGATTCAATTCCTTTCCTACATGCATGAGGGTCAGTCACTTTATCAGGAGTTCAGGTCCCCATATCCAGCCTGGGTTTCTATACTTCCCTCCTCTGGTCTCCTTATCACTGTAAATCTTCTCCATCCAATTCATCTTCCACATTGTCAGTGAGTGATTCTTGTAGATGGCAGATCTGGCCTGAGCAGTCCAGCTGCAGGCCCAAACCTCTGTGTAATCTTTTGGGCCTGACCACATGCTGGCTTTCTTTGGCAGGCTGCACGGGAGAAGCTGCCCTCCCCACATGGGACTTGTGCACACCTAGTGTACTGCACTCAGGTTTTCTGCAGGGGATTGCAAGGACTCAGAACGTCTCCCTGGGCCAGCCGTGCCTGCATGGACACTGTATTCCTAACCCAGGAGCCTCTACCTGAAGGCCCTTAGTTGGAACGCTTTCCTCCCTTTGTCTCAGAACTTTCCGCTCCTAGTTTTCCCTCTTTCCCTCCCACTGGCCCTCAGGGCCATAAAGTCTTTTCCCCATTACTCAGCAGTAGGAAGAT